GAGAAATTACACCATGCATTTTATTCAGTGACTTGCATTTTTTACTTCATCATAAACAACAAACTTTTTTTCCAGGTTCAATATATATAGTTTTACTTATTCTCTTTAATGGCTGCATAATGTTCCTGAGGAAGTTTCCATTGTACAAATGCATTTGAATTTATTCAACCACTCTCCTTTTGATGGACTTATCTTTAAATGCAATCTTAATTCTATATTAAGGACTTGTGTATACATTTGTATCTGCTTTCAGACTCTGTGGTTCCACAGATATCTGCTTATTAACAAAGATCATTTGCATTGAAAAGTAGGCTGAGCAGTCTAGTCTTCAAGGCCTGCTTTGAGGAGTGCATTTTAAATTTGCCTCCAGCTGTGGGGACACACCTCTGCTGCAATTAGGAAGACTGACCTGGCCCGCAAGTGCTACCTGGCCCTTTCTCACAAGTGTCCCTCTGGATCCTTGACACACTTTCCCATTCTGCAGAAGGAAAATCAGATGCCCGGTGGCATTGGACTGGGCAGTGACTGTGCAGCCTGAGAGCCAAGGTTTTCCTAGGAAGTGTACACATCCTGTCCAGGTCTTCATCTCTGCCTTCTGCAGGATTTCTGATATTTGCGTTCTCTTTGGCAACTCCTCATATACCTCAGTAATCCAGCACAGATGGCATTCGGTTGAGGGGTGTTAAAGTCTATTGTTCCCAAGGAAAAAGTTTCAATAGATGATAGACTTCATCTATGGGTTTCCAATTAAATAGTTAACAGTTAGGGATTTAACAATATTTCTGTCATTTCTCATTCTGCAGTCCTGTTTCCCTGGACTGTATCTCTGCTTGTCTGAAAAGGACCCATTCTTCAAAGCCCAATCTAAATGCTACCTCCTCTGTGGAGCCTTCTCTGATTTTTCTTCTCCTTCTCCTTGCTATACGAGGTAGGACCCTCCCCCACCACCACCCATTTTTTGAATGTTTTTACTAGCTTCCCTGGGCTGTCGCTAAGTCAGTAAACAGTTGACCCTTCAGCACTTCAATTTTTTTCCTCCATAAAACTGAAATAATATCTGTCTTACAAGGATGTTGTGAGTGAAAAGAAAAAATATATGTAAATCACAGCCCTAGATATAGAAAATGAATGCCCTCACCTGTGTTAGTCTGACATGCTCACATGCAAATGTATACCCACACAGCTTTGCACGTTCACACAGATTTTGTCTGTCTGTGTTAGGACACTATCCTTTGTACCTTATTTAATATCTGCCTTGACTTTAGTTTCCTTGGTGATAGAGAAAATAGGAAGTAGTGAAAAAGAAACAGGATTTGGAATCTAAAGATTCAGGTCTACGGGTCCTCCCTGGTGGCACAGCTGGTTAAAGCACAACACTAAGAAGCTAAAGCCACTTCAGCATGAGTTTGATCCCTGCCCCAAGGTGACCCATATGGTGCAGCAGACCTCTCCTGACCCACCCGCTGCTTCCCTCAGCAGGGTACTTGGTCAGTCAGCCTGTTCTGCTCTCCACTCTGTCTCTGGTGAAGCCTCTCACACACCTGCACCTCTACCTGTACCCCAGTTCTGTATGCATAAAAAAAAAGATTCACAAATACCTGGGAGTCAACCTAACAAAGGAGGTAAAGGACCTCTACAAAGAAAATTACAAAACACTGTTAAAAGAAATACAAGAAGACACCATGAAATGGAAAGACATCCCCTGCTCATG